TAGTCTCCGATTATTATTGTTCATGCATTTTCATACCGACTCCTTTTCGTTTCCTTTCCCTTCTTATCGATCTTCTACTGAAATACATTCAATGCCCAACCATCGTCATATACTACTTGTGTGAATATAAGTAGCCCACACAACAATACTTGAATAAACAGGTTCATAAACAATTTATAAAATCCTGAGTATTCCGTTGATTAAGAGAATATCGTTTCCATTAATGATCAAAAGGGATGAGATCGACTATGAATTTTGATTCTCAACAAACTGGAAATAAATTCTCAGTAGAATATTAGAAAAATCACCTGTTATACAAATACACAATAACTGTCATCTTATAACCTTATTTAAAGTATATTAAGTAAAAAATATATATTGCTGTAGATTATAGATTTAATAAATAGGCTACCTTGCTACTGATAAAATTACGTTATTTGATAAAGGAAACATTATGTAAGAATGAATATCCGTCAGGATATCTTTTGATTATATACACTAAACCACCCAACATCATAGATTTATACTTCTTGTTATTACCAATTCATTTTCGGATATACTATACAAAGTCAAGTTTGAGATACAGACCTTTACTTTGTGCAGTCTGTATAACTGAAAACTTTTGTAAATATTTGGTCTTCGTCAACTATTATCCACAAAGTAGATCAATGAATGTAGATAATTTTTCTTGAGTTTGTAGAATAAAATTTTATATCCTGTTACGCATATACTCATTTAAAGTAGGAAATAGCCTAATAATGTGCATACTTACAATATCATATACGTGTTCCGTTTGACTACTAGTGAACTAGATGGCTTTCTTCGATTCACATTTTACAATTACTTCAAAAGGTGTATTTGAGTTCTCATTGATCTTACCCATCTTTTATTAATGATCCTTGTATGGTTTTCGAAAACTTAGATAAGATACAGTGACACGCTTAAATGCGAAAATTGTGCCTAACAGTTATGAATGGTGTATTTTGTGTTTATAGTTCTGTTCTGTTTTGGATAGGTATTTCTCTTTTATTTCGCAATAGAATAAGTAATCAAAAGCGATCATCAGGATATTGATAAAAAGCGTAAATTTCGGAGTAAAAATGTGAAGTCAGATAAAAATCAAGACATTTTCATCCAGAAAAGAATACTGTGACCGGTTTATACGCACACACACATTTGTAGGTATAGCCACTTTGAAAGTCTAAAGTTCCATTATCTTTATCTGAATCAAATTTCGTTTATAGTTCAGAAAAAAATAACTTCAGCCATGGAAATATCCAGCCTATCAAGTCAGAAATGTTTTGTAATTAGCCGTTCAAACTTTGTATGTAGGCAGTTTTTAAGCTACTCAAACTATGTGAACTCTTTTTCATAAACGTAGGTCAACAAACTATGTATCATTTCAATGTCATTTCTTTCTGATTTGATAATTATAATCTATTACCTCTTTACACCACGAAAATATTTAATCCAATAAATGTAAGTCATGGATTTCATCATAATCCTTCATGGTTAACTATATGATCTAGATCTAGATCATCTGGAAGATTGTCAACCCTAATTAATTTATTATCACACCCCCACCCTCATATTAGTTAGAAGTACGATCTCGTTTCATTGTAAATTGACTTCTAAATCTGTGTATCTATAAGCATCATTTCTTATTTTGAATAATATGAAATTCATTCACTACTCAGTATTCTATTTATATCAATGAGTAGAAAGATATTGTTTATCATACTCTAAATAATGTCTTATATTTGATTTACCTACATGGGTCATGCAAATGTCAGTAACAAAGCAAAATAATAAATAATTAATTTCCTCAATTTATCAAATTAGATTAATTTCCCTTTATTCTGATCAAAAATTTGATCATATGTATCTGACTTATTGTATCCCTATAAAATACAAGTTAACATTTTAATGAAATAGATTGTATGATATTATGGTTATTCTCCAAAGAACAGAAGATTTCCGTAAACATCATTAAATATTGATAAAATCTTATATGTTGTATTAAATCAGTTTTTATTTGATATTGAACTGAACTGTATCTATTATTCAATACGTATATACATTCAACTATCCAGTTGCCATGACTCATGTTTTCTTCTGTAATAGTAAATCAAGTGAAAGATTAACCTAATATATACAAGTAAAATAATATCAACATTAGTGATGTGCAGTTGTAGATAAAAGAGAATAATAACGATATTATTAGTAAATAGCTTGATTATTTATTAAACTGTCAAATGTATAAATCCTTGAATATCAATGAGATTGTTTGAGAAATCTCTTGATGAATTCTTACATCAGTGAAATAGCTATTAAGAAGAAAATTTCAGTCAGTCTGTAATTCTTTTCAGCTGTAAATCCTAAAGATTAGACCTAACACAGGTATTACATTATTTTGTAAATAGTGTATAATACAATTTCTTTGTTTTATAAACTGTTTAATTTTAACTCGATATTGTATTTGACAGGCATTTTATGGTGTAACCGCTTTTCTACACTATAATTTGTCAAACAAAACATACATTCAATGAACATTTTCATCTGAACGCTGGAACTAAGAGTTGAAGTTATTGTGAAAACAGAAAGATTGCACAAATGTATCAAAATCTATCAAGGTTAATGTAGCAGTATGAATTAATTTGATTGCAACTACATTTTTATCAGTTTAGTTTAACATAAATCTTTATTCTCATCAGTACCTTTATATATTTATCGGTCTATATAGTTCATAGAACTAGAAAAAGTAAAGCTAAATATAGATAACCTAACTGATAATTACATAAGTTTAGGATAAAAACAATATCTGAAGGGGTTTTTTTGGAGATTTTAGTAATTTTGTATAGTTGAGATCATGAGTCGATTGGATTGGTTGAAGTTGGACATAAACACCGTTGGATGGCGGCCGGCTCAGTGGTCTAGTGATTAAGTGCTTGCATGCGAGAATGATAGATCATGGGTTTGAATCTCTAGAGGCGTCATCGTGGATGCGCACTTCCAAGGAGTCCCACAATAGGACGAAAAGGCCGTCCAGTGCTTCCAGGTTTTCCATTGTGGTCTATCTTCAATTGACTCATGATCTCAAACATATAAAAAGCAATACCTATTAAATGATATCTTTATTTAACGGACGAAGTAAATGATTTCATGACTTGCATTCCAAAGCTGTTCTTTGAAATCAGTTTCATTTCATAAAAAAATCATTAGGAAAACATTTTAATGTATAAGCTACTTCAAAGGTGAAAAATTATTTTCAAGGAATCTTCATTACATATTTTTCAAAAGCATACTAAACGTGATTTGAGTTTTAAGTTTAGTTGAGCAATATGTATCTTTAACAATACTCATGAATACAATGCATTTAAATCAGTTTCATGTTACGAATAGTTATGTAGAGTGGAATGGTATTCAAATATACATCAGTAAACTTGTACTGCTGTAAAATTATAACTTATTCTACTGTATATAATCTACTGATATTATAAGAAACTGAAAGATTGTTCACTATGATTAATAAAATTATAACCAGTACTGTTTTTGTTTCACAGCACTAGTTACACTACTTTTTTCATAACAGGAATAATTATTGAATATGCCTAAAAACATTGGCCTGCTTCAACAGTACAATTTTTCATTTCTTTAGTAGTAAAGCTTGTTTTGACTAATATTTTTTCTTGCGGTAATATGATAATGTCGTTGGATATCAGCTCTGTTTTCGAATTCTAGTTGTTAAAAAAATATAAGCAACTGTCAATATATGAAAAAGATTTTTGTAAAGTTCACTCTAAGTTCATTTGACTTTAATTGCTGGAATTAATCATGACAGATAATCAATATGAAATAATTGAGCAATAAAACGTATACTTATATTGTTTGACTACTTAGACTACTATTGTGTATGTATATTTACGAGTTAATCATAACAACATATAAGCTGACATATATGAGGATCCTTACAAATGATTAAAACGTACCCGCTAATTGAAATGAAATTATCGCGACACACAACAGAGGACAAGAAATGAGAACAACATATGTGATGGCAGAAAAGAGTAGAAATAGACAAAATGACTTAAGAATGAATTTCCGAAGTACAAAATGTAAGATAATTTTATAGTTTTGGACAAAAGTGACTAAAGAGACGATGATGAGTGATAAGTAATACATGTTCAAGCAACTCAGTTGACGCAGATTCATTGCTACATCAATTGACTTCGGCGTCTAAACTCATTATTACTCAGTAGCTAGTCCAACCTACTTGAGCAATGTTTTGAAGTCATCAATGCACGAACATTTAAAAGGCTGCGTTTCACAGTCATAAAGTAGAACAAAACGAACTTTTGGGCAGCATATAGTTAAAAACATAAATCTGCTCAATTATTGTTTTCATCAAGCCGTTTGTTTTCATATGTTTAAGTCTTGTAAGTAATCAATTATAATGTGTACAAAGATATAGCTAGAATTTCTAACATAACCAGTTACCTTCATTGTTTATCCCTCTTTTCTATGAAAACAACATTCGGATTAAATTTTGTTATGAGAAGATATTAATCCATGCAAAGTAAAGGCGCAAATACCACTAAGTAATATGATCAGTAAACGTACATGACACATTAAAAGCAAATGATATTGCTTCGCAAAGATCATAGTCTGAATCAAATGTTATATGTTTTCTACTCAAATAAAAGACATATTGAAATGAGTGTTCTACATGAAAGACAATGTTTCTACACATGATGAATGTTCATTTGTACTTATCAAGAAAAAAGGATAATTGAGCCAAAATGACTCTTTCTTTTAAAAATACTGAAAACCTAACGTCGTTCTAATTAACTTTGTATTTTTTCTTATAAATCCTATTAAACTAAATCACATTACATCAGTGTAACTTGCTTTGCGATATAATCTACTTCAAAAACAATTATAAGTTAAAAAAAATATACGCTTATACATGGCAACTAGTAATTTTAAATAATCTTACTTACCAAGATATTCCGTGTAGGAGGTACTCTTAATTCCGTTACAATCTTATCAAACAATTAGACATGTTTTACAATGCGCTGAATGAAATTATAATTTGTATCATCTTTTTGTTGAATAAGCAGTTACAGAATATAAAAAATAAGTATGACAGCTTCAATCAAGTCAATGTTCTTCAGTAATAATCAATTTAATAATCGTCGACATGATGGATAGTTTTTTCACCAATTTCTTATTTCCATACTTATGTTTACTTGTATTAATAATGATAATCAAATTGTATCTGTTTGCACTAGTCTTCCATTTACTATGCTTATTTTATAACTAATATTCAATTCAAAAAAATATAATATGATATCCTAGTAAATCATCTTAATTTAACCCCCAAAACTAATTTATTCAATTTTGATTGGTTGATTGAATTATACAGAGAGAGAGAGAGAAAAAAATAGAAAAAAAACAAACAAAACAACCACACCCTACTCAATGTATTGAGATTTAGATAGAAATTCTATTTATTGACTAGGCAATTGTTTTAACGAATTCTTTACTGTTTTCTTTTTATTCCCAGATTATCATTATTTTCTATATTGACAAAAGCCTGTTATTATTCATGGAAAATTGGTGTTTATCAGTTTGTTTTTTCCAAAAAAAATTATGATGACGTGTTTTCTTTTCAAGATTTGTTTGTTTAAATTATCAAAAAAGAGGAAAAAAGAGAAGAAAAATAGACGGAAACAAGAAAATGGTATTGATGAATTTGAATATATATATATATGATAACATACCCATAGTAATATGCTGATTTTAAATTAAGTTCACTTATGCTCATCTTGATCAATATGAATATAAGAAGCAAACATTGGTAAACTGAATAAGTGTGTAGTAAACGTGAACACGACTGAGGACAATTGAATGTATTTAAGAACAAATTACAAACTATTTCACTAAAATCTGATAACCATACAGTAAACAGTTAATTTGCAAAATAACAATCGATCGTAACAATCTTGACTGTTTTTTTGTAAATATCAGTTCATTTTCTTTGATTTCATTGTTCATGCATTTTCATAACGATTGCGCTTCGTTCCGGTTCTTTTTTTATCAGTCTTCTGCCAAAATACATTCTATGCCTGACCATCATCATATACTACTTATGTGGATATAAGTAACCACACCACAAGTGTACTTCTAAGGTTAAAAGGGGACAAAAATGTCATTATACGTTATCGTGATTCGATCCATAATAAAATCGTAGATATCGAAGCCAATATTTAGTGTTCGATATTTAAGAAACATAACATTTATAAACATTTTTGAAACTAAATTTTAATGGGTCCGAAGTATAAAGTTGTACTTTGAAATTCCCATTTCAGTTAGCCATAATGTTTGAAAAATGTGTTCTGTAAATCTACATGAATGGCATCCATATAAGAAAAATAATGCTATTCTTATACTTACAATGGTTCATCATTCTACCTATTAATGTTGTTATTAGTGGCCTTATTCAATATTGTATTTTTAGTACAAATTATAATTCTCAGCACAAAATATTTTAACATGTTTCTTTTTCTGAATAGTCGCCAGTTAAATATTAGCTGTTCAGGCATCGACATGTGGATAATATATATTCTTTTCGATGCATATTACCAGAAACCACGATGTCATTGATTGGGCTCTTTTGTAACTTGTACAGTGAAATGTCGACAACTTTTCACAAAAGTACCTGAATTGGTTATGGAATTAATAGGAACAATGATGTGTTAAAACAAACAAGGAGACAAATAAGTTGTTGAAGTATCCAGGTGGCAGGAACTGTTAGCCAAAATATTCAAGCAGGGCACCTTGTACTTCAAACATGTTTTCAGTTCATTAATTTGAAAACTCTAACGTATAAAATTCAAAGTTCGCGGAGAGTTTTGTTGTAATATTATAGTTTTGCTTAATTGTATGCGGTCATAATAAACTTGCAATTACCATAGCTTTACGTACATATTGAAGTGGAATTTGAAAAAAGAACTCTAAATTCAATCTACATTATCATTAACATCAAACAAATTTATTTGTACTTGAAAGTGTATTTGGGAATAATTAACTGTAAATCTCAGCATATAATGTGAGAATCCAATCATGAGTAAATCAATTTTCGTAAGAGCAAATAATAACAATAAAATTTGAACGTAAATTTAAGTGAAAGTTATTACTACTACTGAATAAGTATCTATGTCTGTCCAAATCTAAATAAACCATTTGGTCAGAAAAAATTATTTTTATTTGATAGTTGAAAGCGCGAGTCAATTGAAGCTAAACCACCAAGAAAAACTTGTAAACACTAGACTCACGCTTTCGACTATGAAAACAATGAAATCTCCACACAAAATTTTCCAATGATAATCAAAATCTGCTAATTAGTGAATGACTTCAAGAGGTATTTCCTGAAGTTCTAGTGAGAAGAAATAATCAGTGGAGTTCAATCTACGTCTGTTGTGAGATAGGAAGTCACTGGAAGCAATTAGTGATTGGTTGATCAATTTCGTGGATTGGGTGGAGTTAGACATTAACACCATGGGATACCGTCTCAGTGGTCCATCGGTTAAGTGTTCTGGTTCGAGACTAGTAGGTCCTGGGTTCGAATCTCGCTCGCGAGGCGGGATTGTGAATGCGCATTGCTGAGGAGTCACACAATGGGACGAAAAGGCCGTCCAGTGCTTCAGGTTTTCCTTGGTGGTCTAGCTTCAATCGACTCACGCTTTGAACTATGAAAACACTGAAATCTCCACAAAAAACTGATAATATTTATTTGAGTTAGAGTAAATAATGAAATTGTTCGTTCACGTATGATCATTGTTTGTATACTCATTTTGAAAACATTTGGAGACTTGTTAGAAAGGATTGAACTAGAAAATCTTTTATGAGACGATTTCAGCCAAGCATTTTAAAGTTGATAACCCACATTGGTGCTTTGATTGTTTAAAAGTAAAACCACGCATTGAAATAACCTATACTCCACAGTATCTAATTTTTATCACCTAATTTAGGTGAATAGACAGTAAGCAGTGAAACTTGATTTCTTGATAAACAGTATTAATCAGTAAATTTTATCTGATGCTCTTCATGACACTAGAACCTGAGTCACTCACTGTTACTACTAAGTTATTTGAACTACACCCATACTAACAACTACTATTTGACTTGGAGCACGAACACATGACATCAATACCAACTACGCAACATCAACATCTTATCCACAAAATGTCAAATCAATTACTTTCATTGACTTCACTGTAACTAGATCAATAGAATTGGAACAACATCAAAGATTACAGAAGTATCACACTAGTTACTACTAATGATTAATTAACCCGAACAATTTTTCTTATCACATTAATTAGAATTGTTTGCTTGATTTATATTTTGAATCCAATCAATTAAAATTATCTATGTTTAGCTAATGGAATAATTAGTTATTCTCATATGACAGTTATCTCATTTGTTTTAACCTCTATTTCTATAAACTTGATACAATATAATTTTCCGTCTCCTTATTATACTCTACTTATTTTCCCATTAAATCAATCTAAACTAATAACAACTTGTATGTATAATTCTGTTATATTCAATTTTAGAAACAATCAAAGTTTTTTTTATGTTAACTAAAACAAGGGGTTAAATAGATTTACAATAAACGATACAACAAAAATAAACGTTTCTCTACCTTATTTTTTTGTTGTTGAGCTTTTAGAAGCATAAATCACTTTATTACTAACACGTCAAAATTATTATTAAAAAAAAGAGGAAGTAATAATGAATAATTTATATGCGTTTTTCGCTCTTTTTCTCTCTCTCAAAATTTTGTGTTTTTTTTTTGTGTGTGTGTATGTGTGTATGTGTAAGGGTGTGCATTTAATAGGTTGAAATCAATAAAAATGAACTCAATTTTCATGATGAAAATCAAACAATAGGTAACAGAAAAAAAAACTTAGATTTGAGTATACAAATCAAAAATTTTTTATTAATTTTGAAAGCAAAAACAATAATATTATTATTATTATTATTCAGTAATTGTTCAGTAATGTATGCAGTCTTAGCGCCAAGGTGAAATACTATTTTGATTTATGTTACTATAACCTACTCCTGGAAATCTACTTTGGTAACATAGTAAACAATTCTCAATGTATATGATCTGTGTCATTGACATTTTAGATAATTAGTTGCAAAACAATTGAACGAAAAGTAAAAAAAGAATCATTTTCGACATGTTATGATAAAATGATCTCTTTGTTATCGGTTCGTAATGAATAATTAGACCGAAGAAAATATATTATGATTGCTAAATAAGTTTGATAAAATAAACAAAAATCAGTATACAATTCTAGCTTAAGAATGTCTAACATAAATAATTATTACAGTGTTTTCAAACATTTCCAGAAAACATAGAAACATCTAAATTCACTTGGTATTATTTGTTTGAATCTTCCCATTGATAGTTAGGACTGCAATTGATCAGTCTCTTATTAGAATATGTGCATAGTGGGCGTATTGCCTCGATATAGCCTTACTTCACAAGCATTATAAGCACAGATGGATGGTGGTTAGCAGTGGAATTCAGGACGCGCGTTTCGTTCTATTTGGGACTCGTCAGCTGAATGAACCTGCATCTGAGTCTATGTTCACCTTGGGACTCGAATCCAGTAACTTTCGCTTCAAACGCCATCGTGTTATCCACTCAGCTACTGAGTCCTGATTGTGTGCGATGGGGTGGAGTTTAAATTAACTTGAGTGGATAACGCGATGGCGCTTGAAGCGAAATGTACTGGGTTCGAGTCACTGAGTGAATATCAACTCTGAGATTAAGGTACATCCAGCTGATGTGTCTTAAATAGGACGAAACATGAGTCTTGAATTCCATTGCTAGTCACTATCCAACTTTGCTTATAATAGAAAAATCTGCTTTCAAATACTGATCATCATTTTAGTGTCAGTTGCTATGCTAGCCCACATAGCTTATTCTAGTTTTCTGACAAGCAAATTTATTCATTCTTCTTGAATCACATTTTGACCTTATTACCAATTTTGACTGTTTTTAAATCAGTCTGTGTACACTTCTTATCCTTTTCATCGTATGTCTGTAATTTATTTTTGTGTGATTGTGAATATCGATTCACGCTTTGCTAAATTGAGTTGGTTTACATGCATTCTCCACCGCGCATCATTTTGTTTTACTTCGCTTTCCGATCAACAATAGTACGAAATATACGTATTCAAAACTTCATTCTCGTATTTGACTTATTTAGTTTCGTTATGCACTAACGCGCGTTAAGTCAATGATTGTATAC